AGTTGTTACAATGTGGATTTCTTCCTTTTCAGAACCTATGATACAGTTGCACCATTTGGACATATCCTCTGATGAAGATGGTTGCAGTTTGCTTAAAGCCAATTAAGCCAGTGTTTATTATAACAAAACCACAGAATTAGTTAATATAAAATTAACACATTTTATTATTCCATCAACATTGATGAAATTAGACATTTTATCAACTTTTTATGAGTCTATATTTACTATTTAATCTACTATTTATTATTATTATTATTATTATTATTATTATTATTATTATTATTATTATTATTATTATTATTATTATTATTACTGTATTTATTTATTTACTTACTTTTTTAGTTTATAGGACTATATACACGTAAAACTACATGATTCTTTGTTTATATCTACGGCTGTAAAATTCGAATAAAAAAGGAATTAAAAAACAAGTATATAATTAACTATTAAATACAATGTCTTCTATAATTTGACCAAAAAAATATCATTATCATCATTATTAGTATTATTATTATTATTGTTGTTGTTGTTAAAGTTAATTTGTAGGTCTATATAAAGCCTACATGTAAAACTTACAAGCATCTTGATTTATAGGCTATCTATGGCTATAAAATCCGCATCCGAATAAAAAAAAAGTAAGCTTAAGTGTATAATTGACTATTATATCTTGTATAATATGACCACAAAATGGGATTCAAACGACAAAGATTTGCCACGAACATGCAAGTATTACATTTAAAAAAATAGTTTTAGTCCTAACTTTTACAAATATTTATCATTACTGATACAATATTTTTGCCTAAGGTTTCAAGTCTATAGACCTTGTTTTCAGTAACTTTGTATTCGTAGGTCTATTGTTTTCCTTTTAAATTCGAAAATTGAATTGTTTATTGGCGAAACGCCGCGTGCACGTGAGTGTATGGCTTCACCAAGGCGCTAATCTGTATTAGTCTCACCATGAGTGACTATCGACACTGCGGAACATGAAAGCACATACCAATAAACAGTTTTCGACGTAGGTCTATGGCATAAAAACCCCAG